AGTCACAGTAATATACATATGTGCTTTATGGTATCACTAAATCTGACCAATGCTTTTGTTTTGCTCATTTCAGCTCAGCTGAAAGGTTTGATCCTCGGGTAAGGTCATGGGCATACCTTCCAAATATGAACACAAGGAGAGGGTGTCATTCCTTGCTCGCTTTCAATGAGAAATTGTAAGTTCACTATTTTACACAATGTATGAGTGACACCTGTGCATGGCTTTATTGGTACATCAGATTGTAAATATATGGGGAGATGGTTCTAGATCAATAATATTTTCCTTTTGTCGATAAAAATCATTATTATAATGTAAGGGGTGCACCTTTAAATAATATTTTAATACTATCTGAAAGGGCTTAGTTGACAACATATTTGTTGGCACAATATTTATAGCTTGGAGTCTAACATCATATAATGAACAATTTTCACTACAGATACGCCGTTGGAGGCTATGATGGAACTAAAACAGTTTCGAGCGTTGAGGTATTGGATCCTCGGTTTGGCTCATGGACATCTACTGTACCAATGAACCAGTCAAGAGGATATGCCGGTGCTGTTGTAATTGGAAAATCAATGTATGTTATTGGGGGAGTGCAAAGTGGGCAAATCATTGTTGACACTGTATGTATAACCGCCATCTTCTCCTATTTGAAATTATATTCTAGCATGTTGAGCATCACAATCATTCATTTCATGAACTTGTCCAATCTACAGGTTGAGCACTACGAAGAAGATAATGGTTGGTCTATAATCAAATCAACAGCTGTTGGGAAAAGATGTTTCTTCTCTGCTGTTGTCTTTTGAGATCATCTTGATGGAATATGATTTTGGAGAGATGGATAAGCTGAATGCTGTGCTTTTTTGGGTGTACGCGCATGATCGATCATCAATTTTGTTTTTGGGTGATGGTTGATAATCCATTTCATAACCTCTCTGTAAATTTTGTTGAGAAGGTAGTTGGCATTTTATTCTTCATTTTTTTTAGCAAGCTAGCAATCTTTTATAGTTTTTTTGTTTGGCAAGTAGAAATATTGTCCTACATGAATTAGCAAGCTAGCAATCTTTTATAGTTATCAATGGTTATGTTACGTTGTGGCTCTGGCTTGAATATACCCCTTCCAAAATAAATCACGATGAGTACAATATTGCCCTACATGAATTGCAACAAGATTAAGGCTCCTGTCATGATGAATTCTGCAATGTATTTTTTTTAATAGTCATTCTGCAATGTATTGATGATGAATATATAATGCAGCTTGAGTAGTAAAGTCTTGT